CCCCTCAGCTTACCTGGGGGCAGTGCCAAGCAGCCTACCAGTACCGCTGTAGCCTGCTCTGCTCATCTGGCCCTCATGCTGCTGGTCTCTAATTCAAACCACTGTAGTTGGCCAATGGCTAAAATGAAACAGTAAGTCTTTCCTGTTCCACTAGTTTTGTGTCATTTCCACTCTGATCATTTTCTTCTACTAGACTTTGGGACAATTTGTTTATGCCCAGTGAAGGGCTGGAAATTTTTGACCCTTGCTTTTGTCCACGTGACACAGAGATGACCCAGCTAAGTTGGTCCAAGGAGATTAGCTCTGGAACTGGAAGCAGCCAGCCACATCTGTAATGTGGATGCTCTCTCTCTGCAACTCAGCACCAGGGCATCATTGCTGCCCTGTGCTGGGATGCAGAGATGTACCAGTTTACATAGAGAGATGGAAGGGAGCCACTTCACACTGATAAAAATGTCAGATACTCACAGTCCTTGAGTTTCTGGCCTTGAAAAGCTGGGAGCAAAGGCCTTAGAAAGATGTCTATATACAGAACATTTAAAAGGATGTCAAGATGCTGTGCTGAATTAAGCCCCAATAAAGATAAATACAATGCATGCAAAATGTTCTTGTGTCTCTAGACAAACAGGTGTTTCCTGGGCTGCAATTACAGAAGTACACAACAAAAGCTTCACAGCTTGCCTCAATCAATACATCTGAAGTGTTATCCTTCCTGATCATGTAATGGTGTTCCCATGACTTGCCTCTCTCTCCCTCCTTCCCTTCCCTTCTGCAGATCTATAACCTGAAACGTGACCCCATAGTCAGTTTGGGAATCAAGAAGCAGCGCAAGATCATAAAGCGTGGAGCAGGAGGGCAGCTCAGTTCACTGGGCTCTGAGCAGCCATGCAACCTTGGTAAGGAAATGCGTAACTCTTGTTATAGATTGAGACTGTTATTGATTAATTGGATAGCAAGACAAACCATCTGGTGGCAGCAAGATTTGGTATTGATGTCCTTTCAGAAGGGAGAGACAGCTCCGAGCTGCGAAGAACAGCTCCAGTGGCGTCCAACCGTTTAACTGTTTAGCTGCCAGGCCTTTCCACTGCCAGTGCTTGCATGGGTTGAAATGCAGGGCTGTTCAGAAGTGCCAACCTTACCGTCAGCAGAAGAACCATCTCATGTAAGCAGTAGTGCACATTTCTCTGCTGGACTTTCACAGTGCATTTAAACATTGACTTGGCCACATTGGTTTGCATCTCCATTCAAAGCCTGCCCCAGGAGAGGCCAGCACACCAGAGGGGTGGGCAATGGTGATACGTGTTGTTCTGTGAGTAGGTAAATACAATTTATGCTTTAGTGCTTTTGGCAGTGTGGCCATCTCACTCTCAGGAGCTGAACTGAGATCTCATTCAGTTCCCACTAGCTGATGAACAGCTGCCAGCTCAAAATGACTTCCATTTATCGCTGCTCTGACTTTGAAGTTGAAGCTTCAGCAAACCTCTCACTTCCCTCAGACACCTAGTTTATAAGCCTTTTCTGCTGATTTTACTTGGTAGGCATGTATACACCACAGGCTGTCATGCAACATCATTTATGTCAGGAAGCGTAACTAACACATGGGGATACTTCCATGTTGGGATATTGTGGATTGATTTTGAGCCTTTGTGAATAAACAGTGACCAGGTAAAGCATCCCTGTGGTGTTCACTGGGGAGCAGACTGGTTTGGAACTGGGTCATCCTCATTCCTGTAGATTGAGTTGTGATGTGACTGGCAAGCAGGAGGGTGGACAGCTGAGTTTGTGTGCTGCACCTGAGTGCTGCAGTTGTTAATCCCAGCTGTGAAACCACAAGATTGTTGTGGACTGGCAAGAAGTATGATAAAAATGCTACAGAACTACTGACCATCACATCCCATCTTAACCCCTTACTGATATAGGGCTTTTGGGCATTGACCCCTACCTGCAGGTGTACGAGACAGCATGTGTAGAAGTGCAAGGAGGGTGCTGGAAGCCAAGGCCTTTGCCTTAATGCTAGCAGAGCTACTTGGGAGACACAGTCACCTGGGGGGAGATAGGGGATGTCTCTGAAGAAGATTACCTTTTACCCAAGGTAACTATCAATTAATTCTTTCCACTGTCTTAGTTTGGCTTTGGGTTATGCTCCACACATGCTTCATGATCATTGCAAAAATCACCAGTCCTCAGGCAAGCTCCCTTCTTAGGCTGCAGACCTAAGAAAGAGCTTGTTATTATAGCCAGTAATACAGCAGAGATTGACTGCATGAAGGTTTAAGAATTAACTGATGCCTGTGGTGTGGGATGAGACCTATCTCGCAACATTATTCCAGTATTTAAAGGGTGGCTACAAAGAAAATAGAGTCCCTTTTCACAAGGAGTTACATGGTAAAGACAAGGGGTGATGGGCAGAAATTAATCACTGGGGAGATTCCAACTGGTCATAAGAGGAGAATTTTTCACAGTGAGAACAACCAGCCATTGGAAGTGGTGGATTCCCCAGCACTGGACACAGTTAAGATTAGGTTGGACAGGGTACTGGGACATCCAGTGTAGGTCATGCTTTGCCTAGAAAGGTTGGACCAGATGATCCCTGAGGTCCCTTCGAACCTCGTATTCTATGATTTATTACTGACATTCCCAAGGCTGTTGTATGAGTCCTGAAAGAAGAGCTTGGTGATCAACAGCAGCTTTGTTTAGATGATGAGGCTGTTTTGTGTGTAGTTGCTTTGGGTTATGCTCCACACATGCTTCATGATCATTGCAAAAATCACCAGTCCTCAGGCAAGCTCCCTTCTTAGGCTGCAGACCTAAGAAAGAGCTTGTTATTATAGCCAGTAATACAGCAGAGATTGACTGCATGAAGGTTTAAGAATTAACTGATGCCTGTGGTGTGGGATGAGACCTATCTCGCAACATTATTCCAGTATTTAAAGGGTGGCTACAAAGAAAATAGAGTCCCTTTTCACAAGGAGTTACATGGTAAAGACAAGGGGTGATGGGCAGAAATTAATCACTGGGGAGATTCCAACTGGTCATAAGAGGAGAATTTTTCACAGTGAGAACAACCAGCCATTGGAAGTGGTGGATTCCCCAGCACTGGACACAGTTAAGATTAGGTTGGACAGGGTACTGGGACATCCAGTGTAGGTCATGCTTTGCCTAGAAAGGTTGGACCAGATGATCCCTGAGGTCCCTTCGAACCTCGTATTCTATGATTTATTACTGACATTCCCAAGGCTGTTGTATGAGTCCTGAAAGAAGAGCTTGGTGATCAACAGCAGCTTTGTTTAGATGATGAGGCTGTTTTGTGTGTAGTTGTCTGGGTGGCTGCAGAGAAGCAATCACATCCTTGTGTTTCTGGTGGGGAATGTCAGCTCAGGCTGTGTTCAGAGCACAAACCTGCAGTAAGAGGAGACTTGCAGGTGCTCCCAGTCCAAAACATCCCGTATTGACAAGGTATGTCCCCCATCAACTTACTGCATGATGAGAAAGGACTGGGCTTGTGCCCAGGTTTGCTGTGACTGAAGCACTTCTTAATTTTTAGAAGAGATTGTAGAAAACAAAATAGAAAAAAAATAGTTTGTCGTGGAAAGAGCACAGGTATTCTGCAAGCTTTGAATAGCCTGGTGGTGGGAACACATCTCAAATGATGTGCCCCTAATTTCCTGCTGCATGAGGATCATTTTGCTTTGAAGATGTCTAAGCAGAGTCGAAAGGAAACCAGTGTTCAGCCTTGATGTGTTTGTGTCTCAGAAAATGTATTTCAAAGAGTCACTGTCCTGGAAAAGCAAGCACACGTGATCCCTGAACTGTCAGGAGCAATATAGCAAGTGCCTCCAGCAAGCCAGACACATCCTTCACTTGGTGGCCTCATCTTGAACACTAGAGGTAGCTCTTGCACACAAAGAAGCCTCTAGTTTTGAGCGACTTGTTATCACAAAGCTGCTGCCTAATGAACAGGCAGATTTATCATGAGGAAAATATGAAATACATTAAGTCTTATGTATGCTGGTTCAGAATTACATTTTGGATTATAAAAAGCAGCTGGATTAACAGATTTCTTTGCTTGGAAGAAATTAAATGGACTAGTATCTCCTGTAGCAGAGCAGCAGTTGTCCTTGTCTGACTCCTGCAATGGGGTCACTACTGCTGTATTCTGATCTCCAGATACAAACACATAGGCACTCAGCAGTTTGACAGCTCAGGGTGAGCAATTGCATCTGCTAACATCCCAAAATATATAACAATGCCTGAGGGCCTCAGATCTTCCAGTTACTGGTTTGTGGGCTTAGAGGGCTGCCAGTTGTGGGGGGTAGGTATAAAACAAGCATGTGTTGTGCTTTGATCTTTCAGATCAGCCATTGCTTGACAACCTCTGCCAAACCACTTGCCTCGTATTGCCCGGGATGAGCCTTCGGGGTTCAAAGCCCCCCCCTTATGTGGAACTGCTCGAGGAGCTCATTGGCACAGATTTCACAGTAACTGGAGTACGACTCACTGTCCTGGACATGCCACAAGCTCGCTGCATCTCTGGAAAACTAAGCAGGGCAGGATGCAGTGCTGCAGCACAGGTATGGAACAGCTGGAGTCGTGCTTTGCTCCCTTCACAGAAAACAGGAGCTGTTTAATGCCATGCTGTGCTAGGGGATCCAGCTAGCTCAGAGCAAACTTGCTTTAGTAGCAGTATTAGCACAGCACCGCATGCAAGCTCTAATACCACTGGTAGGGAATGTGGCAGCGTGCCTTGCTAGCTAGTTCCTGTATCTCCACTACCTTGCTGACACCTAACCTTAGCATTGTTATGTATGAACCTGTCCCTAATGTGAATGTCACACCCGCATTGAACATTTTATTCAGTTCACCTTTCAGTGTGCGGTTGCTGCTATTATGTATGTTCTGCCACTGTATCCTGTCTTGGTTTTACATGTAATACAGTTTATATTTCCCTTTCTCTAATCACACCCCATTAATCCTCTTCTACAATGCTCAATAACCATTCCATTTTCTGGACTGTGCCCTGGAGTCCTAGGCACAGATTTCATTTTGCTTCCCATTTAGTTGGTGCTGACAGCTTAAGCTGCAGTCCAGCATGGGGTTTGAGCAAGTGCTCATGGGGCTTAAGCATGAGATGTGCTACTGGGGCAAGCAGATAGATTGCTTTAAATCAGTGCCTCCTTGCACTTGTGCAGGAGAAGCCCACCATCTCAGGAACCTTTCTAGGGCAAAGCACTAAGGTAGAACATGCAAGAAAGTGCTGTCAACAGCACAGAGTAAACAAGGGGGAAAACTACTTATGCTGGAAGTAGCAATCAACAAAGGGCTGTCAGAGACACAGAGCAGTCCCTCGGAAAAGACACAAACATTGGTGCTTCCAGCCTTTCAGTTATAAGAGTCTTCAGTGTTATCTGTAATAAGAACAGGTAAGATCTGTTCAGGTTGTGATTTTTAAAACTGACAGCATCCCTTTGAAGTACATCTGTATAGAACAGCAATTACATCTAGCATCCAATTAGTGTAAGCACGTCTTCCTTCTCCTGTGGCTCCCCTAGGACGCCATCCCACTGCACATGGGAAGGTGCACAGTTCTCTAGGAAGGACAAAGCAAATCAGCATGTGGGAAGCAGAGCCATGGCAGTAGCACTGCTCACCTGGCCATGAAACGCTTCCTCCCGGCAGAGATGAATTGCTCTGGGCAGAGCTGGAGTGTTTCCAGAAGGGTCTGGCACTGTTGAGCCAAAGGTGAACATTACAGTATTTGCTTTCCCTTGCCAGAAGGGAGGTGGGCTCTTTCAAGTAATAATTGTTTCTGCTACAATATCTCAACATTGTCCAGTATCTCCATATTCCTGTTTCCAGCAGACTTAGCAACTGAATAGCACACCTAAATAACCTGCTTATTTTTTCACTCTGAGAGAAGGGAACGGGAATAATAGTATGCCACAGGAGAAGGGTAACTAGCAGTTTAGACATGATACTCTTTCAGTTTGAAAGAGCCTGTTGCTCTGTGACTTTCATCCCCTAACACAGCACATAAGCAGTTATCTGTGTTGTCAGCAGTTCATCAGTGAGGCTTACAGACTTACCTAAGTGGACAGCAACAGCAACACTCTGTTCTTCCTTCTTGCAGTGTTCCCTCTTAAAGAATGGTTTGTGTCTGGTGCTGGCAGCACAACGAGACAATGCAGTCATTTGCTTTGACTCCCTGCTGGACAGGTAAGTGAGGACAATATTGCTTTACCAGCACTGTCTCACCCCCTGCCAGGGAGCCTGTGATCTGAGGGAGGGCAGCTGCTTTTCTTCTCTGTACTTCACTTCCATTTCAGACTCCCATGAGGTCAGGTGCCACTCAAAGGCAACCCAGCCTTCCTAAGTCATGTCGTTGTTAATGAGCCAGCATGTTTCCCAGTTTCAAAGCCATGTGTCCTACACTCAGGCCCTTAAACACTGAGTTGTGGTGTCTATGAGGCTTGGGGGCATGGTTCCATAGATACAGGGAGTTTTCTGAGATACAGGCTCACATTGGGAATAGACCTGCTGAATCAATAAAATTCCTAGGAGACATAGCTTAGCAGATTCTATGTTTGCTATTAAAAAAAACCGCAAACTTAAAATAAGTGCCAGAGAGCAAAATCAAAAATGAGCCTCCTAAATAAATCACCAGAAATGCTGGCTAGAGGATGTATGAGCCTGGTAAAACAAACAGAACCCCTCTGCAGGGACTGATTAGTGAAATGGAATGATTAGCAGGGCAATTAACCCACTGTTCCCCAGAGGGAAGGTTTCCTTGCACAGGGGCTGGTATTTGGCAATGCCATGTGTGGCTCATGCACATGGTTTCCTCTGGCAGAGGAAGCCAAGAAAGTCTTTTTTTCTGACACAACCAGTGTAGAGCAGTCCAGCAGTGACACTGATAAGACTGTTGTGACCATGGCTGTACTTCCAGTCATCTGGAGGACTTCCAGGTAACACTGTCAGTGGGACAGGAATATGGAATTCAAGGCTGTTGGGGGTTTACAAGCATTAAGGGGGTCAAATCTGAACACCCAAGCTGGTAGACACCTTGGAGTTCTCATACTTTGATGAAATGTTATAGTGTTCAGTCATAAGGCCACACCTGGGAAGAATACTTGGAACAAATTTCATCAGTAACTTCTCAAAAATGCTTTAAACCTAATGACAAAATTTAAACCTTGCTCCCATTCATTTAAAATTGCACCCTGGGGAGCCACATCCCAAACCTTTCACCCTGCAAAGTACAGCACTAAGAGCAAGTCACGAAGATCTTTCTAATATGTTTTATCCCGCTCCTTCCCTGGTTTACAGGGAAAAAGGGGGCTGTTGGGAAGCCCAGAGATCACTAAGGTAGTTCTGGGAGAGTGGCTGTCAGCAGAGCTGGCAGAGATCCCCCACCTCTTTGTTTTACCCAGGCTTTTGTTCATCAGGGTCATGGGTGCTGCATAACAAGATCAGCTCCAACCCAGTGCTTCCCTCTTCTGCAGGCTTAACTTGATATGTTTTATGATTGCCAGTCTCAAGGCAGCACCCCTAGAGCAAACCTTGTGGTGTCTTCTCACTGCCATTCACAGGGAGGAATAAGTGCCAGTCTCAGCTGTGTTTTCACCCCTCATCCTGCTCTGCGCCAGGATGGCTGGCTCTCCAAAGGATAAACTTCCTTGCTGAACTGCAACATACATGTGCATAAGCTCTGCCTGTTAGGAGGCACTCCCAAGGGGCAGGATCCACACTGCCTCTTGCCTAGTGCCACAAGCAGTGATCATGCAGCCATTTCAAACCAGCTCTACAAAATAGTAACTGCCTTTGTGATTGATGATGCTTGTGGAAGGGAGGATGGTGAGCTGTGACCAAGGATGGGGAGGAGGCAGAGATCCCTGAGTAGATCCACTGTAGCCAACAATAAACTCACACCTTTATGTAGCATAAGCATCATACTGTTTAAAATCAACTTCACAAATATCTTTGAAAACCCAGCCTGACTCCACCAGTGTCTCATAAGGACACTTCATGCTAAGACATCTTCGTTTCAGAATAACATCTGAGGTTAATTACACTTACAGCTCCACCAGCTGGAGCCACGGGACCTTTCTTGTACTGCCTAAATCACTGTATTTATTTCCCTCTTCCCGCCATGGCCCAGGATTCCAGTACCTGCACAGGTTCTGGCCTGCATTTCAGCTGCATTGCTGAAGCACCTCAGTGTAAGAGATTATTTTACAGCCCTGGGAGTTGATTCACAGCTGAGCCACATTATTTAGGCTTTGTGCCACAGAGAGAAACGTTGCCATCTGTATGGAAGCCTGGGATATGATGTCAGAGATGGGCTGTGATAAAGAGGAGGAATCAGGTGTTGAGAGGAACAATGTGGGCTTTGCTAGTATAACTGCTCATAGTTCAGAGCCTATTAAAGCTTTCCTAAGCCAGCTCCAGCAGTGGCACCTCCAGGAGAGACATTCAGTCACTGGAGGATGTGCTGTGCAGAGCAATTGCCCTGAAGACAGACAGAGACCCTTGTAACTAACTGTGCAGTGATTATCGTGCAGCAGCAGCAGCACCCACTCTGCCCGTTCTCTGGACATCTATAAAGGCATTATTTCTGCACCAAAGGGCAGGAAGAAAAGAGAAAGGGACAACATTGATGCAGGTGGGGGCACAAAAGCAGCCTGTGAGTTTGACTGGCTGCCAAGAGTGGAGCTGAAGCAGGAATCTGGGAGAATCTGGGAGGGTGCCAAGGGTAACTCAGAGGGCAGAGTGAAGTAAGTGTTTGGAAGAGGTGAGGAGAAGCTGAAGCACAGCCGAAGATAGATGGGGACTGGGGCAGAACGTGGAGAAGGAAGTGACACAATCCTATCCGTAGACAAGGAAAATTATGTGAAACTTACCTTGTTTGTTCTGTCAGCATCCAACTGCCTGGATCTCCAGTATAAAGCATTTGAATTTTCCTGTCATAACTTGTTTTTACAGCCAGATTTCCTAGCTGCAGGGTGGCAGAAGGAAGAATTTACAAGTAGATTCAAAGCAGCTCCTGGAAGAAAGACAGGCTCTGCTTTTTATGCATGACAAACAAGATTTAGCTGCTTCAATAGGTGATACTGATTTAATAGTGATTACTCCTCTATGGTTATTTGAGCTTTTAAAAAGTACTTTCAGATGCCCATGAGATTGTTAGGACCTAACTGTGTTGTGCATGGTCTTTATGAACTCACCTAGTTAACATTGTATTGAACTCAGTGAGCAGTGTTTGACTCCAGCACACTCCAAACCTGGCTACATCAGAAGAAAACCAGAGTGTAGACTCAGCCTTACACCTTCCTGGCTTTAGACAATGTGGTGCAATCAGAACAGAAGTCAAGTGTTAAGGAACTTAGCTGCATGTTATTCTCTCTGATGAAACATTCTTACCAAGTGCTAATTGCTGTTAGCAGGGAGTGATGTTATCCCTATAGGGAGCTCATCTCTGGGAGCTTTGGAGGGGAAGGCGGTGTAGAAATAGAAAAAAATGAACACACGAGATGTAAAATATTGGAGCTGTTGAAAACCGCTGAGGAGAAAACTTGCCAAGCACAATACCTGGATATGGGAGCAGGGAGTGGTTTCCAAAGCCTCTGGAGAGTTTTCAAGCCTAAGACTCTGAGTGTTCACAGAGTCAGTTTAAAGGGCAATTTTGAAATTTGTGTCTAGCCTCTTGATTTCTCTTGAATATGTCTTATGAAATCATAGAATCACAGACTGGTTTGGGTTGGAAAGGACCTTAAGATCATGTAATTGCAATCCCTTGCCATGGACAGGGACACCTCACCCTAGACCATGTTGCCCAAGGCTCTGTCCCACCTGGCCTTGAACACTGCCAGGGATGGGGCAGCCACAGCTTCTCTGGGCAACCTGTGCCAGCGCCTCAGCACCCTCACAGGGAAGAACTTCTTCCTTATATCTAACTTGAACTTCCCCTGTGTAAGTTTAAACCCATTCCCCCTTGTCCTATTGCTACAGGTCAGCTCGTGTGTGGACCAGAGCAAAAGAAAGGCTAGTGAAGCAGACCCTGCTGCTGAAGGCAGCTTAGATAGTCCTGGGGGTTGGGAAAAACGTACACATTATCTTTGTTGAGAAGGCCACCCTTGCACAGAGCTGACTATCTACATTTACATGTATTTCCCACTGCCTCAGAGACCTCATTATGCAACAGGTCATTACTGTTGGTTTGAAGGCTTGTATTTTAAGAATCCAAATCCATTTATACAAAGCTTTGTAAAACCCAGGATTTAGCTGTGTAAAGAAGTTCAGTAACAGATGCACATGGCCAAAGCTGCTGGCACAGAGCATGGTCCTTCACAGAGCTGGGTCACCTGCAGTTTCTGACAGTTTGGATGGCAAAGTAACACTGGCTTCCATTTTCCTTTACCCCCAGGGTCATTTGGCAGAAGCAGTCAGTCGTGGACACTGTGCAGCATCTCCTTTATCCTCAAAATGAGAATCAGGCAAGTAGAGAAGTTTATGGTCCAGATTTGTGTCCTTTGTGTCCCTGTGATGAATGAAAGTTGTCAAAATTGGTTGAATTTTGGAAGAAAATTTTAACTTGTATAAGACAGAGGTGGTGCCTCATGAAAGCCCCAAGTCTTGGCTTAAACCACAACAAACTGTCTTCACATTACAATGGTGGCACTATTTTGAATCAAAATATTTGGAGATTTTGATAAAGATTCAATATTTTCTATAGATGTCAGTTACTTTTTATGAAGAATCAACACTTCGTAAGATATCTGTGATACATATCAATAATTAGTGACAGGAAATGTTCATCCAGCCTTTCTGCCAAGCTGGAACATGTCCTGTGATTGGAAAGTTCTGTCTCAGAAGCCCATATCCAAGTAGAAGAGGAGAAATTAGGCCATTAGCTACTCCAGGGATAGGCTAGCTGAATATTTTCTCGGTAGTTCATCCCAAGAAGGGAAATACTAAGCGATATGTGGGCAGCTAATGGGAATAAACTGCATAAATACCCTTAAAACTCTGGCTGTAATCATCAAAGTTCAGTATAAAACAAATGAGAGATTTGGATAGAGGAGGCAGTGCCTGAAGAATTAGGACTAGGAGGTGTAAAAGAACTGGGGAGAATGAGAACAGTAGCAAAGGGACAAATCTCTCCCTTGGATGCCTTTTGCTTCCCCAAAAAAACACAGCAGGAGAGTGAGATGTGTTTG